TACTATAATAGGGAGCTAATAAGTGGTATACCTATTTGCAACAAGCTGTACACAAGTTCTCTGATTAACAACACAACATTAAAGAGGACAAGCTTTTAATCAAATCTTGAACGCTAATATAGTAGGTAAAACTAGGGATTCATCTTTTCTGCTCAAGAGTTGGAGACTTTTGCATATTGCTTCAAGTACTAACTTCATTACCTAATTGCTCCATGTTAATAAAGATTAAATTACATCTATTTTATCCTGCCTCAAAGTAGCAAGTTAATGCATAGTATAAACTCCATGCATTCCTGAGGATGGATCCCATGTAATGCCCGCATGTTGTCAAACTCCATATTTCCACCATCCTAAACTTATGTGGCATTACGCATTATTGAGGTGTTATCTGGCCTTTGTAGTTGGTGAAGATGGTCGAATAAGCATTCTTTCAATTGTAATCTCAATTGCCTTTTGCTTGTGGATGTACTAGCTTGAGGACTCTCCACTCTATCTTGTGTCTCCTTCCTCAGAAATTCCACCACAACTGCTTCTGAATCCAAATCTTTTGGCTTCTCCCTGGCCAGCTTTTCAATCAGAGTAGATGCACTTTGAGTAGATCTACCACTCATGTCAACATCTGCAAATTCAATGCGAGACAACCTTGACTCCAAGAGATACAAAAGATACAAGTGTCGTTTCTTTGGAGTCAGTCACTTTATCAATATGAAAGATATAATATGCATCTCATTTGAAAGAGTCGGTTTCATTTGTCTTATACGGACAAAGATCTCGCGTCGATTATCCAAAATGAAAGTACACACAAAGCTTTCTGCTATGCGCATTTTGTGCGTACGTGGTAGATTTAGGTGAGCACATGTGATTCTGCTTAACAATTCATTTATCTATTTTTCGTCTACATTTTCATACATTATAAATCATTCTGGTCATTTCTTACGTTCTAAGTAAATTTTGAGTTTCATTTAATTTACCGAATATGTCAACTAAAAAAGAGCAATTCATTTAACTGTTCTCGATCTGCATCTGTTCTCCATACTTTTTTATATTCTAATCTGGTCATTTCATAAGTTCTATGGAAGTACCAAATTCTCATTCATTTGCCCAATATGTCAACATATCAATAGCAAATGCGGGTTCTTGAGACTACTCTGGAGCCTCTCGAAGATAGGAAATACTAGTGCTAGCATCTTCAAATTCCATCCCTGTCCCTACCATTCCAACTTCCGAACTTTCTTTTCTGTCACCACTTCTATGGAGAATGAAATTTATATGCCCTGGGGAGCAATACATACTTCTCTGCCAACTTTTATCACCGATGCCTTTTTGCATCTGCATGAACCTATCAATGACACACACTTGACACACACTTGACACACAACAATTTCTTGTTGAAACGGAGGTCTCACGGAACCAGTTACTTCAGTCTCCTTCTGTCACCAGGAAGCTCTGAATTGGGCCTCCCCTGGTTCATGATAAATATGAGTACCATATGATAATAGATAGCAATCTGTTGACTTATTTAATATGCTTTCTCGATCCTACTAATATACCGGGGGATGAAGGTGATGGTTTGTTCCTCTCTTCTGCCTCCATGGTTTTGCTACTGCTCGCCCCGGCTTACACCTTCAATTTCATCCACGTACGGGGTGATGGGGTCTCCCGTCCTTATGATGGCTATATATTTCTTGGTGCAGTGCTTCTCATCCCTTCTGTTCTGTTCTGTGCTCCTTATCTTCCCAACTGTCACAGTGCGTACTGCTCATTCTCTTCAACCGCCGTGGACAGTCAATTCCTTTTGGGGCTCAGTCCTTGGACACTGGACTGTGCTCCACTGCAACTGTCCTGCTTTTTTCCTTTTTCCAATATTTCAATGTTCCTATCACTGTCCTCCACCAGGACCTCCGGAGGTTGACGTCGGACTACGTTCATCCATACCATGTTACCTTCCAACTCCATGATTTACTGAACTAACACCACAGCACAGTACTGCTCTCTTTAACTGTCTAACTTTGTCGATTGCTGCTTTGGTCACACTTCTCTTTTGGAAATCCCTAATCGACCAGATGAATTATTTTCAGCTTTATTTCTGCGGAATAGTTCATCTATAATTTTTCATTATTGGGCTATTCTTAAATGTCAAACTCTTACTTACAAAAAAATTAAATCAAAGACGATTTATTTATTTATTTATTCAAAACTATAGTTCATGAACTACTCCTATATGTACTAAAGTTAATCGGTTGGTCAATTTAACACATCAGACAGTGCAGTTAAGCCAAGAAGCTGATGAAGTGTCAAGGTGTCCTCGACTTTGTTCGCATCCTTCCCGTTTCAATCAACTTAACTTAGAAGGCAAGACTTTAGGCCAAGGTGCCAAAGTCCAAAGGGCGAAAAGATTTTAATCTTAGAACACTCTTGAGACAGTCGGAACTTCAAAAAATTTCGTCAACAAAAACATCACTAAAGTAAAGACTTTTTATTCTCTTCCACGCGTCTTCAGACAAATTTCGAATATGATACTCCTATGAAATATATGAAACTTATATAGAATCCCCTCCTTACGTGTGAGGTTGATGTTTGTTCCTCGTGTTTTAAACACAAGCAGTGGGAATATGAGAACATGCAAATTGTTTCCACATAAAAGGAGCATAAAGTGTGCATAAAGTGCTTAGGCTTTAAATGCTGTTACATCATAATAAGTGATCAATCCTTTTCCTCCCATGTAGCCTTCATATCCTTTCTTTTGCAAGCTAGTTCTCATTGCCGCTTAGGCGTTCTGTATATACATATTTACATGCACGCACACACACACACACATGAATCTTTGATCATAGTGGCTGCATCTCCATAATGTCTCATGATAGATGAATTTACATCATGCACATGAGTGGGGAAGCAAAGCTATTAAATTGTAAAAGCTTCATGTATGCTTATTGAGCTTTTTAAAAGCGCTAGACCAACTGTTGAAGTGAGGTAGAATTATACAGAGAAGACAATATGTTTTGTTTTTAGTTCTAAACAATTAGAAGTTAAAAGCAAGCCAAGTATTGAATTCAAAGCTTTAAATTTACATTTAAATGAGGAAAAAGTCTTGTGACCACTGCTTTAAATACGTATCATCGTAAAGTAATACAAGTAAATTCTATGTGTGTTTGAAAGACCTTCAGTCATTGGAATCTTGACGGAAACGCACGAACGATGAAATGATGGCAATAATAACATCAAACACAGGGGTTTTGTAAGATTTATCCATAAAACATTATAAGTACAGGGCTATAAGTGAAGAGTTGCGTTTTTTCCCAAGGTCAGTTCAATGTTATTCCCCAACTACGCGAAAGCGCACCGAACAACATTTCATGGTGAGGACAACGTAGCTCTGAGACACTCCTAACATGCACGAACCGCTCCACCGCAGTGGCAGAAGTCCGTCATTTTTACCGCTCGAAGTATTTATCACATCTTTGTCATTTCCATGTTTTTTGTCAGCATATTCACGATGAGATGTCACTGTTTCGGCTGAATCTTCCATAGATTACTTTTCCCCTCTACGAGGAGAATGCCATAAATAATGAATATATAATGATAACCCAAACCCCTGATCGAACCCGGTTCAAAGTTCATGCTCCCGCTCTGGATTATACGAATCTCACTCAATGAAATGTGGGAACATTACGTATCGTGAAAATCTGCACTTTTTCGGCAGGAGGGAAAGGGTCAAACTGAATATACAGCCAAGGAAAAAGCGATATGATCTTGATATGTCAAGAAGGGCTGCGCCAAAAGCCCTTGACCGCGATCGGGCCAATGGGCGAGCGCGCGGTCACGTAGTTTCAGTTATGGAGTAGTAGTAAAGTACGACGTAGAAGGCATGTCCGGTGACCCGAGACTGTCCGTTCACTCATGGAGGGAACTGCATGCACGGTCAAGAAAGAGGGCGCCGAGGGGAGTTGATCTCCAGACCAGGCGCCGGTCCCACGCGAAGGATATAGGAAAAAGATTCGCATATACGGGGGGGATCTGGGTGCTCGTGCAAGAACGTGGATGTTGGAGACGAATGAGGAAAGAACACATTCTGCTGCCGCTTTCCAACATTTGTTCTGTGGCGGCCGGCCCTCCACCAGCCTCTTCTTTCCGATTCTTTCATTGTGCTTCACACTTTCTATTATCTATCTAATCGCCCGCAGCCCGTCAATCCCTTCGCTTCTCGTCTCCTTCTCTTCTCATTCTTTCACATTTGGCCATCGCTTCCGGGTTTGCTTCCTGAATCCGAATTCCGGACGCAATCCATCTCTATCAAGATTTTGTTACCGTTTCCTCTGCGCAGTTTGCATTGCGCACTTTCTTACTCCGTCTTGCTTTTCGTGCTCTGGAGGATTCGTCCTTCCTCTCGCTCTGCTTTTTGAGGAAACTCCCTTCACTTTTCACTCGGAGTTTTGTTTTCGGTGTTCTTTTTGCAAATGCTTATAAATCTTCTTTGAGCTGGATTTGTCCTATCTCGTGCCTATTATTGGTATTCAAATACTGCAATCAATACGAGCCTAATTCCTTTCGAACTTATCAGGATCTTCATATTATTTATCATCTACATTATGATATGTTTATACAAAAAGTTTTGATCCGGTGGTGATTTCTGGGTAAATCTTAGTCTGGTTTTCCATTCAAATGTAGGGTACACATCATAAGCAAGATGTGTAACCTTTCCAAAGCACGGCCTTTTTAGTTGACGCGCTTTATCAATTCAAATTCCTAGAACCTACGAACTATCTTTTAATTCCAAATTGATTGTAAATTCTTCAGCTTATCATGAAATGACAAGGCCAAACGTAAAGAAACCTGATCACTGTACTCCATGTGACGAAGAATATTTTGATCCCTCGCCTTTTTAGCCCACATTTTAGCTCACATTCTCATTGATTTATGTAACATGAGATTCTATAATATTTGAGTGATGTAGCCTCTAGACTATTTCAAAAGGAGATGAACATAGCTTTGGAAGGTACGTTTTTTGAACACATAAGGTGTACGTAGGCCATAAAAGAGACAGTCCATTATATGTCCAGAAACTTCAAGCAACGAATGCAAAAATCGATAAAGACGTAAATTTGAACGCATGTGGAGCATGTTTCTTCGCCTCCCTAGGTCATGGTCTAAGCAAGTAAGCGGAGGGCATAACCTACGGGACTCCTGACTGACGACTTTTCTTCTATACACGAACAAAGAAACACTGACATTCCATACCGCCCAGGTCCGAATTGTACATCGTCGGGTCTACCAGTAGTGATAAAATACTGTACTGCAGGGTCGGACTCTCATCCCCAGAGGCATATTCTCACATTCTCGCACTTCAATGATTCACTGTTGAGGGGCAGGGCCCCAAACCCTAACCCAAACCGCAAACGTTTGGTCCAGAAAGACCCTCATTTCCTCTGCTGCTTCTTCTGCGGAAAACGGCACGAAAGCACGAGCAAGCGAGGACCTTAGCAGGTCCTGCAAGTGAGCGAGCGAGCGGTGGTGGGGGCGAACATAAAGGTGGTGGGCTTTGTTACTTTCATTCCCATCATCAAGGACTTAGTAGAATACCTGGAAGACCGACCCCGACCTGAACGCCCCTACTACTGCTACTCCAACAGTACCACTGGAATGGCTGGAAATGCATGTACTGAATCAGGTATCCGATTGTGATAGCGAAGATCATCTGCAAGGAAAATGTACAAGACGTAAGTTGCATCAGGAATCATCGTGAGAGTGGTGGCCCAGTAACGCAGGGAGGGAGAGAGGGAGGTAGTGGAGGGAAAGGAGGGCAGGGCGGGGCTTTCCCCCTGCTACTGCACAACGTCGTATGGCGAAAACCCATATTTTATAACATCGACTGTGCTGCACAGTAGTTTATTTGTGATGGATACCTTTCATGCCACTTCAACTTCCTCATGCGACTCTCCTCCCTCGATAGCGAATTCATTGAATTTTAATTATGCTGTTTTCCGAGTCCTGTGTTTTGTCTTTTCCGGGCCCACAGATATTGGACCACACACCACCATTTGTTGGCACCGTCTTAACCCTCCTAGATCCACCTCGAGCAAGAGGAGAGAAGAGCACATCGAGTCGATTTCTCTTTGACCTCTCTGACGCCTGACCCGACCCGACCTGACCCTCCGGATGCCTTGGGCCTCAAACCTCCTTGCTTTTTTCTCCTTCACAGGAACGGAATTCCTATGTGCTCTATCTTCTCGCAAGCGGGTCATGTTGCGATTTCAACGAAGATAGAAGATGGGATCATGGGAACGCTTTCTGTTGGTTAGGGTTCTTGCGTCGAAACATTTGCACCTGCCCTAAAGGGTGTAAAACAATTGTATACGGAAATTTAGGGCTAGCTGGAAAGAAAAGTTCAGGGATTTGCCCGCTTCCTGCCTGGTGCAGGAGAGACAATATGGCTGTGCTTGGACCTTACATCTAGAAGGATGGGCTTTCTCCCTCCACCTTGCATTTCCCCTTGCTTTTACCACCCCACCCCTATCTGCTTTTTCTATGCCTATCTCTCCGGTGGAATTTCGAAACCAGAATACACACAAAATCTTCTGTCTCCCTACTACCACTACTACTCTATTTTATTCAACAAGTTTATCGAAATGGCGTATGGTGGCACAAAGCGCAACAAGATCGTCACCATCCAGTTTGGGATCTCACGATGTGTGTCGTTCCATCTAATTCCGAGTCAAATCACGAGTTAGGGCGCTAGACGTTGTTCCACGCTTTTCCTCTCAGTTGGCAGGTATCTAGCCTACTACGACTGCTGCTACTTCCATTTTCTACAGCTTTTAATGATGCGCTCGAGGCTTTAAAAAAGAGATGAAAAGCACCCGCAACACCATATGAGCAGCTGCAGAGTATCTCTTACCGAGCCCTCCCGTCGCCCTGCCCTGTTGACTCTTCTGGGGCTATAGCGGGAGAGAAATCTGATCTTCCAATTTCGCAGTTGAAATTTAAGGCGAATGAAAGGACGAGTGTTTTGAAGAGGAAACGGCTCGAAAGCCATCGGTAAATTCGCTCAAAAGGTTTTGATTTCGCTAGGCAAGCTGGCCTAAAAAGCGCCCCGCCCTGCAATTCGAAGGGCGGGTCGGGTTGGGGCGGGGCGACTGTTGAGGTGACGAACTCAGATGAGATGAGAGAGCCAAACGGTTGAGATCACGTTGTCACCTTTTGGGACAAAGAAGGAACCCCTTCCGAAGAGCAAGAAAGACGAGCTCTTGATGCTTTGGAAGTTTGGAGCGAGCTCGCTCACCCCCTCCCCTCGCCATTGAAAGGATCAAAGGTTTGTGATGAGTCCTTGATTTTGCTTATTTACTTCTTTCTTCTTACACCGGAAGACCGACCGGAAACAGGTCACATCGGATAGACTTCGATTTATGGGGTAGCGGAATCACAGTCATGAAGATATGTGCAGATCGAACCCCACTGCGTTCCTAGGATTCTACTGCATCACAACCGAGTCTTCCACACTTTTTGCCTCGCTCAATTGTCTACAGAGAACATAACTTTTTCATCTTATCAGCGCATAAAAATCTCCCAACGACCCATTAATTTCTCCCCAAAGGCCCCGAAGATCTCTCCGCGACCGAAAAGTCTCTCCCTCTTCCTCCTGTTGCCGTTACCTCCTCTCTCCTTCCGCCTCCCCGAAGTCGGAGTCGGAGTCGAAGACGAACGCCGAGTGCCTTAGACTTACGCATAACTCCACAAACACAATATCGTTCCGAAAAGATAAAGAACAGCACATGGGCTGGCATGCACATTTTCGGAGTCGGATGTGGCACCATCTAAGGGCTGGGGAGAATGTGTGTCCGATATCATCGCACACACATGAGACCAAGACCATCCCACACCATCCCATTTGATTATGCTTATACATCCATGTCCTGTCAGTACAAGAGTAAGACTCACTGCGACTCGTGCCATCCCCACCCGTTTCAGAGGACTTGCTTTCTCCACAACAAAGTCGCAAATGAGAATCAACATTAGAAGAAAACACGGTAAAAATTATATTGATGATGTAACTGGAGCGATGTCCCTCCATCCAGGCATGCAAGTGATGATCGATGATCCAGGGCGATTGTATGGTCCAATGCATTATCTATGTCAGTGAATGTTTAATATCTGTTTGAATCATTTATTTTTTTGTGTATTGTGCCCTAGGTCAACTATCTTAGAGGCATGAGGCGAAGAAAGAGCTGGCTGTGATCGTTGTATAACGGAAGAAATTAACGATGGGTGCGGACTAAAAGAGGACTGACTTCTATATAATCGTGTAGACCTTAATTGACTAGAACTTGTAACTCTACAGTGGGTCAAAACTACATTGGAATAAGGGATCATGGCGTCACATCCGAAGGTGATTTGACTTGATGGTGGCGTCTCTTTTTTTACTCCGGAGAGTATCTTACTATGCCTAGACAGCTGGGAAACAAACTGTGCAGATTTCTTGAAATTATTTTGCCAACAATAACCAAAACTGCATCTGGCAAAGAATAGTTCATTCATTTTCAGCAAGATGAGTTGTTCTTGCATGCAGCTTGGACAACAGCCACTTGACAAGGCTAGTGAGGAACATCTATAATTTGACGATCATGTAGGTTACGGGGTCCTGCATTCACTATACTTATTTACACGATCAGTTACGTATACATGATCACTTGGCTTGTAATTTTTACATAATCTACTTTCGGTTGTAACCATGTTATTGAATATGCTTCATACATCAGTTCAAAAAGAAATTGATATTTCTTAACTCTACGACAAATCATTTGAAAAGAATTTAAAATAAGTTTTTGAATGATGTACTCTCGTCCTTTTAGTGAATTATAAATAAATCATCTTGATCTCAAATAAATAAGATATAAATATAATCATTTTTTTCCCACGTAAGAACAGTACGTATTTATAAATTGGAAAAACTCATATTAAAGATAAAAAATTATGAATATGTTATAGATTTGATGCAACTATAATTTCATGAACATATGAGACAAAAATTTCTATGCAAGATACTTCAAAATAAGTTTTATGAAGCATACTGGTTTAAGCTCACAATTTAAGATCTAAGAAAAAAATATTCTTAATCTTCAACCAACAAAATTAACTGTCTCAAAGTTTTGATATTTTTCTATTAGCTTCTATTAGTTTAAGAAGTTTAAGAGTATTCGCAATGCATACGATGCAAAATAATCTAACTAAGATTAAGTTGCTTGTGGTTTTAATATGATTTCTTATGGTTTATGGTACATAATAGATAACAACATTTTATGGATATATATAATATGATTCATGGAGGTATGCATGCTTATTTTTGAAGCCCAAAATTTTAGAACATAATGTTTGACATATTTATGATGTAATGCATATATATTTTTGAGCTAATAACGAATATGTGAACTAAGTTTTGATATTTTACATAAGATGATTAAGATTTCGGCAAATTGAAATGAATATTCAAGTGTAGTACAATGACTCTGAAAATATCTTGAGAATGTTTTTTTTTGCTTAAGTAGCACGATGTAAGAAATGTCTGATCTGTTCATATTTTGGGAAAATCATTTATATCATTTAAAGAATTCAATCCAGATTGAATTAATATCAACCTATCAACATTGTTGGATATGAAGGATATTTGATACTTCGTATAAACATCTCTTTGGGAGATGACAAATAGCTTCAATTTTTGTCGAGGTATTATGAATTACCTTTCTTGTTAAAATTCAACTTCTAGATATTACGGTTTAGATCACGCTACGTGTAGGAAACAAATTCCTTCTAGATGATACATATAGGAGATTTTGGAAAGAAGTTTTCTCTGCCAAACACATACAACGTAGCATCATTGATAAACGTTATGTATGGATGCATACATAACTATCTTGTAATGTATTTCACATCAACTCTATATTAGACAAGAATAAATATGCTGAAATATTGTAATTCGAAGCTGTACTAAGCAATATTTCCGATTTCCGATCCGTTTTTGTTACTTCACTTTGCACTGGTGTAAAACATGGTATCGTAAACTTATTCCATGTTGGCAACTTACTGTCAAGTTGGCAAGTTAGTATGTAAGCGAAGCTAAAGTGATGGATCGGAGGTACCGACCTCTCCATCACTTTAGTGACTCACTAACTTTCCCGAGGGACACAGATCTTCAAAGTAATGAAAGTGCAAACAGAAGTGGCCAGATTACCAAGTCTTATCCATAACGCCAGCTGAACAACGTTCACCAACTAGATTAGCTCTGGTTACTGAAGCTAGTCAGCGAAGAGGGAGAAACGAAGTGAGCCGTCATTTTGAGGGAAGTTGAGTCACTAGATTCCAGGTGAAAATGCATGTCGTGTAGACATCGTGAGGATTGAAAGATGGCTCTCTAAAGCCTTTGGCGATGAGCATGACAGTACAACGCAGCGCATCAATTTACGGGGCGTCTTGTAGACAAGAAGACCACGTGCTGTGAAAACTCGTGTCATAAGGTCGAGCTTCCCGGCGGTACAGAAACTCGTGTCACTGCGCAGGGTTGTCGAAAGCTCTTTGGAGGGGAGTGGGAGATGATAGAACCAAATACTTATTTTTAGTCTAATGTTTTCGTACCAAAAGCTTGTTGACGATGAAAGAATTGGACAGTGGTGCATGCAGCTTCGGAGTCCAGACACTCAATGACAATGGCACACCTCATATACTGTACCTCCAGATCGACCACATCTCATGCGAGGTGTGGTGTGGTGTGGGTTGGGTGTGCCTATGACAGGCGCTCGGAGGATGTGCTCTCTTCTCTGCTGCTTCTTTCTCGCGGTTTCTCAAGTCGCGATTCATGACTTACAGTTTTCCCGCATCCATCTATCGACGAGAACTTGGTAAAGCCGATTTCTTTTAATCATCATTTGCAAGAGCACTAATTCAGCGCTTCAAACGACGTGCGTTGGCAAGAGTGGCGGAACCGCCAAATCAGGGGCCTCATCCACTTTTAGTCTCGTAACAGACCTTTCCAACGTGCCTTTCTACTATTGGGCACAAAAGATGCCCCTCCATTTCTAGTTTCGCGACACTGGGCCATAGAAGGTCTGAGCACTGTTGGCGAACCGAAGCATGCAGTGCTCCGATTTAGCGATCTACAACGTGACCCACCTCCTCTCAGGTCTTAATTTAAAGCCCTTCCAAAAGAATGTCACAACTATGGGTTATTGACTCAGCCGAAAACTTCATATGACTCATTTCTTTGTTACTGCAATATTGGAACTTTATGCAACTATGAGCTTTGACACAATAAAAAGAGATTTTGAGAGCCTGCATATTAAACTCAAGAGTTTCATCTTCTAGAGTGTTTTCATTGCTCTAAAGATAGTATTATCATATACAGAAGAGAGCAATCCCATTACATTCGTTTGGATGGTATGGATTTTGATACAGATATCTTAGTTGCAGTGGGACACATAGCATTGCGATGGTGTGAATTTAAATCTAAAAACTTTGATGGATTTTTCGAACATTTTTTCAGTAACTCTTGGCACCTTCCTTGATAGGGAGTATACAATACAGCCATGTTGCCTTTACAGAAAGATTTGTTGGTGCTCCAAACGTTTCTCATGAGTCCGCATTTAATTGTATCATCAAAGACTTCTAGTCCTTACATCTGCAGATATTCATGTAATCAAATGAACTTGGAAAAGTATTAATGCTATGGGAGACTTGAGTTTCAGCTCTAGTAGTAACTCCAAAAAATAGTACCTAAAAATGTATACGGCTCAAATTTTGGCTTACCGATTTTATTGAGGCACCTGTATGGTCCAATATACTTGACTAGCTAAAACTTAGCCGTAAAGAAGACTGGTTCTAATGTAAATTACAATTTGTATATATATGGTTTAAACAAACGGTAGTTTGTCTAAACTGTGGATACAAACGGTTTAGATACAAACTATGGATAATAGACAAACGTATACATAACGGTTTGTCTATACAAACTATGCATACAAACGGTTTGTCATGGATACAAACGGTAGTTTGTCTCATTATTACACATCTGGGATATGTTTTTCAATATCGTTATAATAAAAAATAGGTAAAAATTAGTTTCGAGTAAAAAATAAAATATGTTTTACCAAAATAAGTGCTAAATAATTTGGCCAATATAGCTTAAAACGTATTTGTTTTAATCTGAATCACGATCAGGTAATGAACAAAGTCTTCGGTTAAAAAAAGTTTTGGTAACTTCTTCAACGAGCGCGAACTTTCATGATGTGGGGACTTTAATGACGTATACGTTTAAACCCCAAAGCAGCAATGTACGGAAAAAAACATGATGGTGGAGGATCATCTTAGGGCCATCAAAGCAAGAGGACCAATGGCTAAAGCAAAGCTTTAGTACGACTCCACTTGTCTATAATATAAAAGATGGAAGAGACGTGTTAACATTATGAGTAGAATAAAAGAAACCAAATAATAATCTATATATATATACCAACACAATTTTACTGAGTCTTGTGGAGAGGAGTTGCAATGAGAAAACCCACATGAGTACTACTTAGGCATAAGAAATAGAAAGATAAGACCAAATACATAAGACCACTTATACCATACTTCTTGGCTAAAGCATGAAAGGGACACTGTAGAAAAGTTGTATTGCTGTTGACTTTTGTATAATTTGAAAATTGATTCGACATCTAAGTGTTCTTCATTTTCGTTCTTATTATTACAAATAATATGAATATATTGACTTTATTTCACTTGGTCCTTGTTTTGTGGATCAAGAAGAGAGGGATGAGTTAAAACTGTACCCATACTGGGTAGACAATTGTTAGTGATGGATATGAAAGGGACGTTATGAATATTGTGAACCAGAGGTTTGTACTTAAACTAGAAGTTGCGTTGCTGTTGAGTTCTGAATCATTAAGTCACACTTAGCTTCTTGATATGACACAATCAAAATATGCGGTTTCATTTAATATTTAATTTTATCCATTTATTTGGAACTAAGATTGCGTAACGAAGAAGAAAAATAGACCAAATTCTACAAAAATCTTTTCCAAAGACACTTAATCATCACAACGTGATAGGAATCTCAATGAAGGTGACACAAGGGTATGTGATTCAGGTGGAAGTTGTTGTGTTAGGCATTGACAGTTTTGTTCATTCAGAATTCTCATAATTTGAATGTACCTCAGTTTTAATCATAAAAGGTTAAATACTGCTGAGGGCGGTCATCTTGTTCCCGGTCGTAGTAGATTGTGGGTCAAGAAACCTAAAAAAACAATCGATCCGAAAGTGTAGCGGTAAGCAATTGAATTAATGTAGGGAAGGTACGTAGGTCGCTGTTAGGGAATGCGAAATTAGCTATAAAATTATAATTATTAATAAAGTTAGATGAGTTTTGGTAGTGAGCGACTTTAAAGGCCGCTGTACTCTCCCACCACCGTTTGGGCAACGGAATCAACCAGGGCCCAAAATCTTGAGCCTGTGGTCCATCCATCTGAGCAGTAAATTCGTCGAAGTTTGCGGGCAAGATTTTCAGAGGGGCCAGTAACGTAGAATAGAGCGAGGGGAAAGAAAGCGCTGGTCACTCAGTTACAGGTTACCGCAGTAGAGAGTTGGAGTAGGACTGGGAGTAGGAGTAGGAGTAGGGGGAGGAGGAGAGGCGCTGTAGGTATCTCCATCGGGGTAGCTCGCAGACTGCCGCCCCCGTCGTCTAGCAGAAACGTGTCCGAGTACTGGACCTTAACCAACGCAGTTATCCTGAAAGGGGTTCTGACACGTGGTGGCCTTGCCTTAATAGACCTAAAGTATGAATTGCTATTAAGGGAGGGATGGAGAAGGGTAAGAAGGGATAAGCAGATTAATTTGCGCTCTGACAGGGGATAAATTTAACCATGGCACAAGGCTCATGCATGACAAAATGGCACCCCATGCAGTTACTCGGCAGAATAGGAACCCAGTCACCATGGAAGCCATGGAAGGACCTAGACCCGACCGGAGGAGCGGCCAGGGTAGCAGTAAGGGAGGAAGGGGAGTAACGATCATAGGGGCGCCCGGCCCGATTTGGCGCGCAGAGCGCAGGGGCCGACAAGCCGACGAGCGGATTCTTGGGCCGGGCAGGCAGGTTCGGCAGGGCGCCGGGCAGCAGCCGGAGGCTGGGCCGGGCAGTTCCGACGGAGCGAGGAGGAGCGCGTGAGTACATGCCACGCGCCCAGGGCCTTAAGTGAACCAGCGGTGGGGAGGAGAGAGCGCCGCGCCTGCAGCCCAAGAGAACTCAACTCACTTTCGGGAGGGGAGAGTGAGGCACGGAGAGGAGAGAGAGTGTGAGCGCGGGGTGCTGGAGGAGGGCGGAATCGAAGGAAGCCAGCAACGACGAGAGATCGATTGAGAGTCCGAAGAGGAAGGACGGGAGAGGGAGGGAGGGAAGGAAGGAAGTGGAGGAGGAGGAGGAGGAAGAGGATGGGATGGGTTACCGGATCCATCGCGGTGGGGCGGGGGCATCCAACAATCTCATCACGCAATGGCATGCCTGTTGGTTCCAACCCCTCAGCTTCTCCTGTTGTTGTGAACGCATATGCTGCGTAGCGTCCGTCTTGTCCGAGGCACCACCGTTGCTGCCATGTATCTCCCATCTCCGGTTCTGTCTCTGCTCGCAGATCCGATCGCTCCTGACCTTAAGCGTGTGATTTGTTTGTTGTTATCATTGTGATTCTGTGACCGGGGCGGCATCTAAAGCTTGAATCGGAGGTGCCTCTTCCAATTTTCTTGTTGGGTCTTTCTTCTCCTTCTTCTTCATCTTCTTCTTCATCGTCTCCCTCTCTTGACAGCACGGTAACATAGTCTGCCACAGCGGGCTGCCTCTTCCTCTTTCGAACCCCATTCTTGCTGAGACTTCATCTCTCTGGTGGACGTGTTCAGGCATCGATTTCACTGCCCTCGTGTCTCCCGGGAGTCCAAATATCTGCCTGAAGTCTCGGCATCGCTAAGCTTCTTCTTCATCCTGTGTAGCAGCCGTCGTATCTCAGCGCTTCGATTTGAAGGTCACGGCTGCCCATTGTTGCTTGGCAGGGGTTTTTTTTCGTAGATCGACACAGTCATCTTTTTGCTGGGGATGCTTCTTTGTGTGGCGAGGTTTTTCCCTCCCATCGGCCCGTGAAGCAGGGAATCATCCGTAGTTCGGCACCGATGCCCTTTTGTTAGCGGAATTGAGGCCCACTGGTATTCGAGGCTCCGATTGTGTCACTTCACCCGTCGTCCGTTTTCCTTATGTACTTGGAGACGTGCTGCTTGGTCAAAAATTGCTCTCCATATTGGGTTCGGTGCTATCGGGGTTGCGACCATCTGTTGCTGTTGAGCCTATCTTCAATTGAGGACCTGTAATTCGGAGTTGTACATCAGAACCCAGAGCTGACATCATTGGCGTGGCATACGCTTCGGAATTCTTGGGGCCAGTGCGCTGGAAGCACTTCATGTCATGGTGGAGGCAGCGCTGGATTAGTTAGTTATGGTTGTGAGAGAAGCAATGATAGTTCCGCAGACAGTTCAGGGAGGAGGTAAAGGAGTAAATGGTTGTTCTTTAGTGAGCAATTATCAAAATAGTCGGGATCTGTGCCTGCAGTCCGCGGCAATGGAGCAGAAGTCAAAAGGCGTGATCGAGAATTGCAATCTAGGACCGCATGACGTGGGGGTGGGATGGAAGAGGAATTCGTCGGAGGGTTCGATATCGTCTATGGACAGCTTACCTTGTGGAGAGACGGTGTTTTCTCCTTCAGATCCACACAACTCCGTGTTTCGTAAGCCGAGAAGACTGGGCGTATCGGAATCCGATGATGAGTCTGTGATAGATCAGTCGCAAGAGGAGTCACTGCTCAGGAAATCCAAGCGTTCAGTAATGGGAGGCACTGTGCAGCCTCATTCAGCGATGGCTCAGTCAGTGGATGAAGGTGATCTTGAGGCTGGCCTTGTCTCGATTAGACGTGCTCATGTTGGTTTTGAAGAGGGAAAGTTCGTAGGTCATCATCCTACATGGTTTCATTCGTCTAAGAGTAATAGTTCTCGTTTGGATCATTACATTGAGTGCTTGGGAACGCAAGATGCTTTTGTACCTAGACGCTACACCCCATCCGCTAAAGCGGACGGTTCTTCCCTTAGCAAGGCACATACGGATGCAGAGTCTCTGCTTAACTCTCGAAATCAGTCTGATGCTCACGTTGGCGCTTGTTCTGTGGGAATGGGATCAGCGGCGCCAGATCACAGTTCTACACCGTCCGACGATGGGAAAGATTTCCCGTCCTCTCGAGTGAAGTTCATGTGCAGCTTCGGCGGGAAGATATTACCAAGGCCGTCTGATCAGCAGCTTCGCTACGTTGGCGGTCAAACTCGTATCATCGGTATCAACCGTGACGTCAACTTCAGTGAACTCAGGAACAAAATGAGAGAGAGTTTTGGTCAATGCTACACTTTCAAGTATCAACTACCTGACGAGGATCTTGACGCCCTTGTCACTGTATCATCGGACGAAGACCTCGAGAATATGATGGAGGAGTACGATAAACTGGAGGCTGATGGGTCGTCGAGGCTTCGTGTCTTTCTCTTCCCTGCTGATCAGGACGCTACATCTTTTGACATAGACTCCACTGGGGATTTGAGGAATTCGGAGCAACGGTATGTCGATGCCGTGAATGGCATCGCGGAGTCTAGCACTAGGAGAATATCCGACGGCGTTTTAGGGGCCTCCCCTGTATCTTCAGATCTTCTTGGGCTCGAATTGTCTGAACCCTCGTGGGGTTTGGCTCGAGGGCCCGATGCAGTTCCCATGGCCATGTTGGCCACTCATCACGACCCTAACTTAATTCATCAGGTACCGGTGGCGCACCCGGTTTCTGCATTAACAGGCAACTTAAGCAACAGGTCGAATGCCCCTTCAGCTCCGTCATCTGCACCTTCTTCGCCCCCTCTCCTCGCCCGCAATCTTCACGGGAAATTGCCCCTTGTCGGCGAACTTCACCAATTTCAATACCTACAGGACTCACAGTTCAAGGGGGTCGGACCGCAGTACACGGGGATGCCCAGCGAGGTCGCTCATCAAGACAGTGAGAGCTACGGCGGCTCCGGAGGGTCATCAGCGGCCAGCCAGCACGAGATGCATTACCGGAGCACGGATTCCAGGCGAGGACCGGAATCCCCTCCCAAGAAATTCCACGATGCTTTGCATCAAGATCATCCCATAACTGTTGAGCAGAGGCGTCTATCAGGCACGAAGATGCCCCGAATTGGCTCGCACGGGAAACTGACGCGACTGTCAGAGCATTCGGAACTGGCTCCGTCATCCAGGGTTGATTCACAACAGATGCCTGATATACACATGGCACCGGGCGAACTTCAGAGGCTCTTCCCGCAGCAGGTACCACTGCAGCAAACCTTATGGCCGCACGCCATGGATACACAGCAAGACAGCTATCGCCGTCCTGATATGCTTCAATCTTCAGGAGCACAACCTGCAGTTTCTGGACAACAACAGCAGGGCTACCAGCCCCAACAGCAGCTTCAGCACCTCTTTCGGTCCGGACTTTCCCAAACTGGTGCCAATCACGAAGGGGCGTACAGGCAAGGTGATCAACAGCAGCAGTCACAACAGTTTCAGGAAGATCTCCATGTCAATCCCAATTACATTCCTAGGTCAGTCTCCTCTCACGCTATAGCCGCGGGTATAGCTGCTGGTCAATCCACATCATATCATGGCTCCGCTCCATCTTCTCCTCGACCAGGTTTCAGAGAGCTGCCCTCCAGACATCTTCCTGGTGGGCCTCAGTTGCAGCACCAGTGGACTTTCAATGGCGCCGGCTACGTTGATCAAGGATTCGGAAGGAGGGTGATGAACTATCCTGACCAAGCTACCAGATCCTTTCGTCTTTCCAGTTCACCCCCTCGGTACCGTGATCATCATCCTCACAGTGAAGAACGACTACACAGGCAAGCGCAGCAGGTATCAGAACCTCTGCACCACGAGCAGGTTCCTGTATCGGGACAGCTTAAATTTGAAACAAATTCTGTGTCACAAGCTCAGTATGACCTGGTTCCGAGGCCGCAGGTGCCGCAATACAAGGGCCATAATCCTTTCCAGGAGAAGATCACTTCTTTTCAGGATCATCAAGAAGTGGGTGATATAAGGCGTCATGTTCTGCAGCAGGGGAAGGATAACCAACTGTTGGCTGGTCAGCAACATTTGCACTCGATACTTCAACCCCAGAGGATCGACTATCAGGAGTCCTTGAAGCAGCAGGGGGATCAATCCATCCCCATCCATCCTCGCTTTCAAGATGGTCAAGAGAAAGTTGCAGAGTGGATGGTACAGGAGCGTGCTTTAGAGGAAGAGGAGGCAAGGAAGAGGGTCCTGGGAAGGATTCGGCAGGCTGAGTTGGAAGAGGAGGCCGCGGCTGAGGCCGTGGTCTCGCAGCACAAAGACACTCACCAAGGAGTGTATGCTGGCCTTCATCTACCCAACGATGAAGATCTGCTCACTTCATCACTTGGAGACTATCCCTCAGGGAACAGGAGGAATGAGCGACTAGAGTCTTCCATCTCCAATGCCTTCCCGTTCAGACATCTGCCTCCCAGTGTTCTGGGAGGTTACACTGCTCCAAAGTCGCGGGTTAATCCCACAGAGACCTCTCATGTTGCCCAGTACGTGAGCAGGCCTGTCGACACGGACTATCTAGCAGTTGCAGGGCTGAGAGGTGGCGGAAATGGTCAAGATATGAGATCTGCCGCATTGTTTGAGGTGAATGGCCTCCAGCAAACATCAGGTTACCAAATGCCATCTGGTCCTCATCGTTTGATGGAAGAGAGGTTGATGCCGTCTGCTTTCAATCCCATAACGCAATTACAAAAGCTCAGAATCAATGACAACTTGGCGCTGAATAATGACATGCGATGGAGTGGATCAGAGGATGTGAGGAATGAACCCTCAATTCCGGCCAGAGACCGGATGGGAGGTATCTATGAGGATCATCACCAAGGTCTTCCAGGCTTGACCTTGGGTAGGAGTGCCGGAAAGCTAAGCAGGCCTTCAAGTAACACCAGCATTCCAAATCTGCTTGACGAGACCATTGGCGAAGGCTCACTCTTGCCATCTGGGCCTTCTTATGGAACTCAGGCTCAGGGAACAAACCTGATCGACATTACACAGTCCATTTCGGCGATTGACAACCCGTTGTACTCGACGTCGTACGCCTCTAGATTATCTAATACATCTCTGGGTTTGGATTCACCTCTGGTGACGTCAGGTGGAATGTTGAATTCTTCTCTTGAAGGTACCTCATTTTCTGATTATTACAAAATCAAAATGGGTGACGATCTTCCGAACGCGAAAATGCCTTCCAGTAAGATTCCATCTGCAGAGGATAATCTCTCAAGGAGCTCATCTAGTAGTCTATCTGAGCTCTCTAAGAGCGGAAGCGAAGATGGTCTAGGTGGGCAGCTTACTATGGATCAGCGGACTGTCGACATGGTAGTCGCGGCACTAGATCTGGATCGCAGCGGATCAGTTGTTCAGAGCGTTCTCGAGTCAAGTGATGCTAAGGAGGCATCGCTAAGCGAATCGGTACATGACCACAGCCTTGGCAAACTTGGTTCAGTTGTGGGTTCAGTAGGGACCCAATCTGTGTGGCCTTTGGATTCTGCTCCAACTTTGGCTGCAGGCCTGTGGGAGAAGAAGCTTGACGAAGCTGGAATGACTGAAGAAACTTTTGAAAGACACATTACTTCGGATGGTACTACATTCGAAGAACTTACTGCTGATGATCACGAAGTTCTTGCCAGCACAGTCGATAAGGAGAATCAGGAGGTATGCTGCTTGGATGCTAAATAGCAGTTGGGGTTGTTCTTCCATTGTGTTATCTATTCTCGTACCGCATAAATCAGTTAAACGACATGCGTCAAGGACTTCGGTCAAGACCTAATTTGTCTTGTTGGATTCATAGGAGGTTCGAACTGGACTAGATGAGCCAGCTGACGAGGATAAAGCGAACAGTACAGGACTCGGATCCGATCCTGCCGCCAAAGCTATAGCGCGTGGCTTACAGGTTAGCCCACCCCTAATCGTCTGAATTTCCGTCGAAGCTAAGCTCAGTAATTTTTAATTTGATACTTAAATTGAAGCTGTTTATGGGGTATGTACTGACTATTATATCCCCATGTCAGACTATAAAAAATGCAGATCTCGAAGAGTTGCGAGAGCTTGGATCAGGTACCTTTGGAACAGTCTACCACGGAAAATGGAGAGGTACGGATGTGGCCATCAAGCGCATCAAAGCAAGCTGTTTCGCCGGGAGACCTTCTGAACAAGAGCGCTTGGTAAGGCTGGTTTTTGTCAAGGCTTTCGAACTTTGCTGGCTGGTTTTTTAACAGTAGTAACGGAGCGTCGATATTCACGGTACAACGTTAAAATGGAAGCAAGAGTGGGATTCTCTCTGACAAGCCTATTCCTTCATGCAGATAGAGGATTTTTGGAGGGAAGCCTGCAATTTGGGTCATCTACATCACCCCAATGTCGTTGCCTTTTATGGTGTTGTTGCTGATGGTCCGGGCGGAACGTTGGCGACTGTCACCGAGTATATGGTGAATGGGTCTTTGAAGCAAGTACTGCAGAAAAAGGACAGGTAAATCACCGAATAGACTCATGCGGAGGCTAAAGAGAAGAGGTTACTTTCAAGAAATTGTTGATAGCAGTAATCATAGTTTTTGGACAAGGATGCTTGCTTGTAAGATCTCCACTTTCGCTGGATCGGTTCGCCTTTATCTTGGTCTTTGACAAAGTGATATTGATCGCTTAAATCTGCAGAACTATCGATCGACGCAAGAGATTACTGATTGCTATGGATGCTGCATTTGGGATGGAGTACTTGCATGGAAAGAACATAGTACATTTTGACTTGAAGTGTGAGAATTTGCTTGTGAACATGAGAGATCCTCATCGACCCATCTGTAAGGTATTCCCCACTTTCTCAGTCACTCTTTCAGTCACTGCGTTTTCAGGAATGTGTACATCCAGGAAAGCGGGCGAAGCTTTTTCGTTGGGCAAGGCCTACTAAAACTGTGGACATCCGAAGTCTTGATATCCGAAATTTTGCTGTTTCGTTTAGGAGAGGTGCGAAGTCAAGAGAAGAAAATTTTGGAAACAACGAAACTTTTTTTTTTAACTCCCTTCATGCCGTGGATGTTTAGGTGGGTGATTTGGGGTTATCAAAGGTGAAGCATCAGACCATGGTGTCTGGCGGAGTGCGTGGAACTCTTCCCTGGATGGCGCCCGAGCTGCTGAATGGAAATAGCAGTCTGGTTACCGAGAAGGTGAGATTTAACAGTCCTAGGTTGTTACTTTAAGATTACAAGTAATGTTACAGAGGTGCCTTAACGCTTGTCCCAACTCTTGGATGATAGCCTAGATCGTGACGTGGACCTTCTGAAGTGTTAGTGTACTTTCGAGCTTGACAGAATTTGATTTGTGTTCCGCCTCAGTAGACAGGGCCGCATCAGTAATGTAGGATGTATCAATGTCTCATCGCCGTGTTGTACTATATTTTTCCAGGTTGATGTCTTTTCTTTCGGGATCGTGATGTGGGAGCTCTTAACTGGAGAGGAACCGTATGATAAAATGCATTATGGGGCGATTATAGGTAAGATACATACGCTTTGTGTTTCGCTTGTCCCACTCGGCGGCCTGCAGAATCCATTGTGCACGTTCTGAAAGATGTAGAGAGATACTTGCACAAGTTACATTGATGTCGCGATTGTTGAGCAAATTTAGCACGTCTGATGATATGATTTTGTTCTGCATGTGCAGGTGGGATTGTAAATAATACATTGCGCCCACTCATTCCTTCCTGGTGTGACCCTGCTTGGCGATCTTTGATGGAAAGATGTTGGGCAAATGAGCCCGCTGTCAGACCCTCCTTCTCGGATATAGCCAAAGAGTTGAGGACCATGGCTGCCGCCCTGCAACCTAAGACACAAGCACAGACACAAGGACAGTCACATCCTCATCCACAGATGCAGATCGTGTAGGAGCAGCATCTGTCGTAGATATTACTTGTGCCCACGCTCGCTGGGTAGGTTTATTGGCACGCTGCTAGCTTTCACGTGTACGAGGGTGCTAGGTCTGGGTCTTTGCTGAGGATAGCAGACCTTTTGTATATGAGCATGATGGTTACCGGGAACAGATGAGTGACTTGGCTGCTATCATTCAAACAGCCATCGACATTTATGTGGAACATTTATGCTTACATGTATAAATTGTTGTGTCACTTGTCCAAGGCGGGGTAGTTCAGCAGACATGGAGCAAAACAGCTAGAGGATTGGTTGCCATTGCCTGCATCCCTAGATGGTTATAAACTCATGACTTGATGGGGTGAATTTTGGAGTGGGTATTCTTCTATAGCCATACACTTAGTGATCCATGGTGTTCAGATCCAGCTTGTTTTCTTCGCCTCCATATGAAAGGCCTTTAAGGATATCTGTACAATAGTAGCTCAAGAGATTCAACTGAAACTGAAGCAGAGCAGAGTATTGCTCTCTTTGCAGTGAGAATTTTGTGCAACTGCTGTCAAGGGAACCATCCTGCTGCAGGTAGACAACATCCCTTATGTCGTCCCTTGAACTAGTTTATCAAAATTGTTCTGCATAGGGTCTAAGGATTGCAATCCTCTTAAAATTGGAGTTAGTCTCGGTTAAGTCGGAAGACATCTCGCTGTAAAGTCGTGAGACATTTCACAAACACGTAATTTGAGATACCCTGTTGCTTGTATCTCAACTGTGTGTAATCTTTGTGGGTATTTGTCTATTGTGCAGAAGCGGGTAATCATGACATGGAGAAGTAAAGCAAAAGTGTGAAGCTCGGCTGGAAGACGATCTTAGTTGCTCTATCTCCACAAGCTGTGACATGGGTCGCACAACAGCAGGTTCAGGAAGAGAATCCTAAGTAGTCGAGAAATCTCAGCTAGCGATTAAGCCAATGTCAGGGTAGTTACAGAGAGTTAATTGCACCGGGTAATGCTGCTGACGCACAGCTGTGCGACCTGCAGCGCATCAAGGCGGGGGTACCATTTGTAAAGACAAAGAGATCATTAGTGTAAAATAGTACGTTATTGTATTAAGATATTTGGTAATTATATATCGCAGCACGTAGAACAAACAATCATCAATATGCAACTGGTCTGCCCTTGGATAGACAAGTTTTTAGCTGACCACCATTATTTTGTCATCATCCCATTCATTGGGTTGAGATTCTTCTGGAAAGTAAACCAGCTGGTTTTGCCGTGTCAATTACTGAGTGGAGAAAAAACTTGTGATTAATCGAACTAGAGTTGGTTCATTGATCATATTGTCGGTCTTATTTGTTGTTTGGGTGCTCCGATATCGTACGATATATGCATAGATCTGTTTCTTTCTTTCTTTAAGAGCTTGTTTCCGTTGTGTTTTATGATCACATTACTATCAGACTTCTTCTCCCGAAGTAGACTTGCGGTCAGCATCTACGTTACAGACGTCACTATTTGGACTCATTATGTTCAGGTTTACATGCCAATTCTTAGGTTAGTGGAGAGCGTGTACTGAAAGTCCACTTTCAGTAAAGAAATGCCCAGCGAATTGATAATAATCTTATTCTATGTGCCACGTTCAGTTCTCAAACTTCATTAATCGAGCGAAGGTTGGAAATCTCTTGATTCTTGTAACCATCACCTCAATTGGATTTCTAAGGTTGATTTTGTCAAGTTTTGAAAACTTATAACTGCCTTGATTTATTTATTCGCTTCCTCTCTCGATACTAACTCCTTTTCCGCCGTCCATCTATAGCTTTGCTTCGAGAGCTTCCCCCCTGCTGACCGGTACACGAATGCGACACTGATCCTGTGAGACGGGCCTGTCGGTATACACCAATGTCGAGCTCAGTTTTGCGTCTACTCTTTTTGATGTTTATATACTCTCTCTTATCGTTGATGATCGTGCTCAATTTTCAGCGCTTCTGGTCAAAGCAATTTTGGAACCTTCGGCTTAAAGACGCATGCGCGGGTATCTTATCCCTAGCGGGGCGTGAAGATCCGAGTTTGTTGGACAGCAGGGCTAGTCTGGTCTACAGTAGCGTACTCTCAGTCCACACGTTTTGGAGGTTCGTCACTATTTGTCAGAGCTGATGGAGTCACTGGAAACTCGAGATGAAAGCTCGATGTCTGAGACCTGCAGCAGATTTGTGTCCAAGACGAGTACTTCGAACTTTATCTGGCCGACTGTGATAATCCCTGCTGCTGGAGTAGAAGTATTCAACATTCAACCTTTGCAGATGCTGGCATCTTTGTTTTGAAATCCTGATTGTTTATGATACTTGTGAAGCGTTCTTGTTTGTTCTCCACACGATATACGGCCGTAAGAGTGTTCATCTTTGATACGAGGTTATCGAAGATCTTCCTTTCCTTTCTGCTATTTACTCGCCGCTAAACTCGGTTCGTACATCGGCACCGTCAGAATGTTTGTCCCCTTGTTAAGTACCATGACCCAAATTGAATTTATAAATTGATTCATGTCACCTAAAATCTCGTGATGAAGTGGGACCTCTTGCCTGTCTTAACTGTGGCGGATGTCTTCAAAGGTGTTCAGAAGAATTGCTATCCCGCTCAGTGGGTACGATCGAACAGGTAATACTTCAACCTCGAGGAATTAATGTGTTGCAACCAACAGTTTGTTTTTCAAATAGAGAACCCACTTGACATTCCGTCCGGTAGGTCCTTTCGTCGCAACAACTTGGAACTTGGATCCCAGACCACATCAACGAGTTTTTCGTGAATTCTTCGTGAACTAGAGATCAAGTTCATATTGGAGGAGCTTGGCGCCAATCTCTCTGAACGTCGTAGGACCCTCAAAATGCATGGAACCAGTCCACTTTGGAAGGCGTGAGATGGTGACATTCACTTGATGCCTAACACGTAGAGAACACAGAGTAGACCATGAATGTGATGATGGTAAGGACACTTTGGCCAACATCCCTTTATCGAAAAAGTCCAAATAAAATCTGGGAGCCGGTCGCAAGTCCATTTTGTGCTACAAACGAATAATGCAACTGAATTCGTTATCAAACTGGTGAAGGTGTTCACTAGGCCACGTCGGTCGTGGCCTATATAATTATATAAATTGCTCGAGGAAATTAAACATGTGGTTTGGAATTTTGCGCTGTTTTGCTTGGCTTCTCATGCGAATGCACGTACACCTATAGAGACGGAAAGGGCACCGAATATGGACACTAACTACAGACGGTACCAAATAGTTTGGGCACGACCGACGCTCCCGGTCATTGCTTGCGGGGCGAGCCAGTTACTGCGGTGGGGCCGCGGCCGAGGAAAGGACCGTACAGTATAGGAGGGCGAGTGTAACGTCCATGTGGACGCCAAAAGAAAGCACGAAAGATCTCGAGTTTGAAAGGGATAATTCAAACGAAGAATGTGCGCCGCAGCGGGCGCGAGGACGATCAATCAAATGGCGCGGTCAGTTCGAGGGAGTCGGAGAATCGACTCACCGCCCGACTGACTGATTGACTGACGGCATGAATGAATGAATGCAAGAATGAAGGAGGCGACGGGAGAATTCGAGATGAGACTCGGCGAGTTCTGTGGCGAGCACGGCGCGGGGGATTTTATTGAGTTCGGGCAAAAGGTCGTCGATGCGAGCTCTAGAGGGTTAGGGTCTTCAGAATTTTAAACCTCCACAGGTGGCTTCGCCTTTTGCGCGAGCGCCGCGGTTAGCATCGCACATGACAAGTTGACATGTCACAGAGCTGCGTATACGTGTGCTGCGACACATCAGTGGGAGACAATCCGGCAAGAGAATCCTCTGGCTGTGAAGGGCTGGCGCTCGGATTCGCACTTAATTGGTGGGCGTCTGGGGGTCGAACGAGCGTGTCGATGGGGAAGCTTATGGCTCCGTTTTGTGGAGCGGATCTCATCACCAACCACTTGGCATCTCCTGCACGGGCGAGCGGGCAGAGGCGCTTGCCAAGTTTCTTTCATTCATGCATTCTTTCGGAAGAAAGACGGGAACGTAAATTTAGGTCAGACAAAACATCATCCGAGTTACATGGTTTTGAGCTACATGGTTGGTCCGTGTGGATCAGAGGTACATCTGAACCAAATTTATCTCAAAACTGAAAAAAATATTCTCCGATTCTAGAGTATCGCAGGACCGCAACGTTCTTAAAATATAAGCTCCTCTTCAGGACACATGTTATACTCGCAATCTGGCAGATCACTGAAAGTCTAAATTTTCACTCTAGCTGATCACTGACAGTCTAAATTTTCATCTGCTCTTGACCATCACATGCCAAGTCACTGGTGTGGCTAAAAGGTTGTAGACTATTATTACAGTATTCTGTACATCCTGAACGGAATACTATCGAGTCTTATCAAAGTAACGTAGCAGTGATGCACATGTGATGTCGTTTGGCTGGACTCGGCCCGAGCTGCAGGGCTTGAAAGTGAGCATCTGGGAAATCTTAATTGGACAATATTTGTTTGGATGGCGTTAGATACGTTTCTCACTTACTGCAATATATATCCCCTGGTCCATACAATTATTGCCTATTTTCCTTCATGACAAAACATCTCTTCTTTTAGTCCTGACGACTTTAAAGGCGTCAGGATGGTCAGGAGGCTTCCGTAAGGATGACGACAGCAAGGATTTTTCCTTTTACTTGTATTCATGGACAGAACATGATAGCAATGATTTCCGGCGATTGAACATTCGTCTTTCGGCACGTAGAAGGTGTTCTTGTGAGTCACATGCTCACGTAAGCGCAGATGAAGCACTGTCAAAAGACGAATGTTCAATTCTTGTCCTCTTCTATGGTGGAGCAGTTTTCGCCAATGGAGATTTCCCTTGGCTTCCACGGCGAGGTTACCTAGACGTGTTGGTATTAGCATGACTGTATTGTTTGTATGTATCTCATCCTTATAATACGCTTCCTCCAATGTACAACTAAAGGCTACAACAAAGCGCACTTTAGTTCGATGGGATTGATGTACGCAGTATCCTCTCATGCATTTGAAGGCATGATACAATGGACGACGAACCGTACATAGGCTTCGGTGAAATTAAAGTACGATATTACCCGAATTTCTATATAAAAGGATCATGACAAAGTTTCCAAGATCTGTCAATCATAAGCTCATGAGAGTGAGCTTCTATTGGCATAATATTATCGAGCCATGTACTATGTTCAAGATTATCTTCTCGTCTTCTGAGTCCTCGAGTTGTTTGTACACATGCTTGATATAAAATAGGAGCAGATTTTTCATCGTGGCCTTAGTTTACGGCATTTTAGGAAGATAACTCTTTTCGAAGTCCAGGACCGAAAGGCTGGTTTTTTGGCAAGGCACCCTTTTCATGAACATGATATGACACCTGCTCTTGGGCAACGTCTCAACTGTTGGCATTGCAGACGCGGTTACTAATTAAAAAACACCGTACAGAAGGAGGTGGAGAGCAATACTGTACTCTATGGTCGGCAAAGTGTCGGTCGCATTGACGGTCGAACAATTGGAATTCGGTGAAGCCTACAGCAGATTCGCCCCACCTTTTCTCTGAGCATAATAATACTGTTGAAGATTTTGGTCGCTTTCTACCCACTGAATTACTGCCTTGCTTCTCGACAACTCTTCTCCTACGACCGCATGAGTGCAAGATTCTTGGAAGGCTGCAGAATTTTCGAGCATCTCGCTCAGGATGCACCGTTCCCTTTAAGTTGGCAGCTATTTCTTGAAAAAAATCCAAGTAACAGTCTCCGTACATTTTGCCTTACCGCTTATTTTTTTAAATTTTTATCTCAATGCAGGAAGTGAATATACCGTCGTTCTTTTCTCACTATTTTTGTATATATATATATATATATATATATATATGCTTCCCTTTTCAAGCGCAAGGCAACAGATCGCCCTACTCAAATCAACTTGCAGATTCGAGCAGTACAAAAGTAACTTGCACACTTGGCAGTTTCCAAAGAACTACGCCGTGTAAGTTCCGTATAGTCTGTCGTGCACAATGCAGGGTTGATTTCCTAGTTCAGTGGATTCTTTTCAAAACAATAGGACAAGTGTGGAATCCACAAAATTCTTGCGGTTGATGGTTGTCTAGCTACCACCGTCGATCAACCTAGCCACTCTAAAAGCATGGACATCCATAGGCCACTTCTGTGATGTGAAGGAAACAGGTAAGAATATACTTTCTGGATGACAGAACTAAACTGGTTAATAATCAATCTTGTGACACGATGTTCATTCATTTCTGTGTGAGGGCTAATCACATGATAGGTATTACTCCGTTAATATATATGACAGCGGAAATGTCAGCATACTTGTGTATCTTAGTATATTCTTCTTCTCCATTAGAGTCGATGTACAGTAAGGGACGAAGGGACAAAACTCCATCTCCGTGGATCCCAACCTCGGGCTCGATCTGTATCTGCTATCGGTACGGGACTGCCGTGAGAGATGGGTTAGTAAGTTATTTTCCTTTGTCCCTTGGAGTGCTACATGTTACTTCTCTCCAGGAAACATTCGGCACTTTCTCACCATCCTGCTGGATCTTTCGGTAGGGAAAGGCGAAAGCAAAGGAGAATGATTTTGTTTTTCTGCAAGTTTTTTGAGCTGGCATATGGAAGTTATGCCACTAGCATCGGGTCTGACACTCCAGGCACGGGTGAAGGTTTGGCAAGAGGATAGCAATGTAATCGCAAGGTGGTGCAGACTGGGCAGCTGGGGCAGGGCAGCGTGCTCGGGGCAGGGCAGCCTCCTCTCGTGTTACTCCGATTTGTAAAGCAAGTCGCCAAATCGTGAGATTCATACACCATTGAAGACGACAAATGTGATATCAATGTTCCTTCCTTCCTTTTTACACGCGATATTGGCGGTAATCGAAGGAGGTATATTACCAGCACCAACACCAATTCACCTTCCGATGGCGACTGCGAAAGTGAACTGAAAAGTCAGCTCGACCCCGGAATAGGGTTACCGAGGATGCGCGCGGCAGGAAAAAACCGCGCTTCCAGGTTTTATCGGTCGTTGGTGAGGTGAAAACGATGCGGTGGGGCCCGAATTCTCAGAAGCAGAACTCGCGAAACCTACTGCAGAATGATCGCATTCGTGCTTGAGGAGTCCGGCGAGATTGAAATGGCCAGATGTTCGATGCTCTCATCCCGCTTCCAAAGATCCCTTCCGTTTCTGGAGAGCTTGGACAGATTTAGCTCGGCTCTAACCAGTCAATGTAAAAGGTAAAGATCAGGGACAGGAAAAGTATGAATGGCCGTCGATGATATGCCACCTGTGGGACCCATCGCTCATGTATTGACGTCATTTCTGACGTCAATCGGGTTCCTTTCGTTCAGCAGATGCAGATTGCGGAGAGAGGGGTGGGGGTGGGGATGGGGGGTGGGAAACATGTGTCTGAGTGTGATGTGATAGGAAAATGACCACTTTCACCAGCACCATCTCGAAATCAGCTGCGAGGTTCTTGTCACCTCTCCGTCTCATCATTTTAGTGTGAGAGAGATTTCCACATGATCGCAACACTTTTTTGAACTTTCTGATGAAGCCGGTCGTTGCACAGGGGGTAGATGACAGCCACAGCATCACTAGATTCCTCGTTTGTCTTTTTACAGCCCCTCTGTGTCCGATGGCGACGGAGGGCGAAAGTTTGACACTGCATTCGTTCAACAGCTGGTGTCGTTCAAAATGCACCTGCCCATGATGATGCTCACCAGAGGGGTACCGTGATGCAGTACCGCCGCGCCTTGCCACCTCTCTACTGTAGGATTACAGTTCAGGCGAACCTCTTCCTCCTCGTGCTGTGACCTGTCGGCTTTTCTTCGTCTCTAAGACCGGTATGCCTTTGAATGCATGTGAGACCGATCAGAGTTGAACCACGAGCATTGAAGGTCAGTTCTGTAGTCGCCGTCCTCTGCTGAAAGGCTATGTCATGGTTTTGGCATTTGGCTACCCGCTGCCGTTCCTTGACACTGATGTACAACTTCAATGCAGAAGTTGTACAACGTATTTCCCATCGATGACCAACAGCACATGCAGATGATTCCCGAGATCCCTGCTTGTCCCCTCCCATGAGAAGATTCCTGCTTCCAAAAGCTACTTAAAAAAATATTCACCTTTTGTCTTGGATATCGATGAGACACATCAGGTTTCCGCCGGAGATGTCTAGTTCTCTTTTTATCCTAGTTCTGACACAATCCCATCGAAGGTGTTGATTATTGAGATGGTCTTCTTCACAATGCTACACGTACAGCAGCTCCTCTACACAACTTGGACATGAACTTCCAGTTTATTGTATACGGCTATAACCTTGATGTCCCCAATAGGAGGCTGTATTTCTATACTTCGATCTGACCATGAGCTTTGAGGGAAAATGAAAAAGGAGAAAAAGGATCGGAATACCCCATCGAATCTTACAAAGATGAAACAAAGGACTAGCTGCCAATTAAATCATATGAAAGAATATGTGTTGGAACTTGTAAATGTCAAATGTTCTACATATGTCAGCATATGAAAAACTGTAAATCACTTAGCTCCTTATCCGCACACAACTTGACTCAATAAAGGAGTCATTATCTATCATGTTATAACATGATAGATATAACATTTATGGATAGATTTTATGGATGGATGGATATATATTTTTGTATATTATATTGTATAAAAATATATATTTATATATATATATATATATATTTATGGAAAGATGGATATATATTTTTGTTTATTCTATATTGTCACAGAAGCAACGGGCATAATATTTACCATCACCTTGTGTGAGTGAACTTGTCTATTGCAACAAGCTATGTTCTCGTATAGATCAAAGTATTGTAAATGATTTGTAAATTTTATTTGTGATAGTTGATATTTTCACAAACAATGCCACTCATTTTAGCACGATAGATTTGAGTGATATTTTGAAAATGTCAAATTCCACATTCAAACCTCCATATTTGAATAACATATGAATGTGATTTGATGTTATGCATCTATTTCATTGGTCAACTAAATCCACATCAATGACACTCCGCTTGTGCTATAAAAAGTATCACATATCCAATGGCATCATCATAATTAGTTTTTTTTTGTTTTGTTTTAAACAAACAATAATCACATGGACGATTAAGAAGTTAACACAAATTTTGATTTACTCTAGTTGACCTTTTCTAATACTCAAATTTTTTATTTTTTTTTTTGGAAGACAGTATTGATAATTTTGAAATTAATTATTGATAGGTGTTACAATCTAGCTTTTGAACTATAGAGTAAATTAAGCTTTATATAAATTATCAAATCAGAACTGAACCTCAAAAGATAATAAAATTTATGATAGACTGTGAGGTTTAGGACCATGGAGGAAAGTAGGGGAGGGAAGGGGATTGCTCATCGCCACGGGGAGGGCAATTGAGATCCACGGGGAGAAAAATTGATGGAGGTTTTGCGAGATTCTTAGCGAGGGACATAGCAACATAGGAGTGCAAAAGCAAATTCCATAATCATTAGAATCTAATTCGATAAGCCGATAGCGAGAGGTGGAGTCAGTGAACTTGAACAGAAGAAGGAGATTGAAAAGGAGCAATAGAAGACTACAATGACATAACGGAAGAAATGATTGTCTACAATCCGAGAGAAAGTTACTCTACTTACGTCGCAGTTTCTTGGTATTGACAACACGCAAACAATTTTGTCAGACATTTGCACTAGTAGTTTCGAGGAGAAATTCAATGTCCGATTTCTAAATGTAAGAGAAATATCTCAGTGAAATTTAAATTAGGGATCATATAAGGTAAGTCGGAGGTGGTCGACAAGAAAAACAGATCTATGTGTTTTCAGTAAGCTCCCGTCGTGTTGTTTCTTGGGGATTGGCGGGCAAAAAGAAGGAGACATCGACGATGGCATCTTAGAAGGAAATACTCAAGCTAGTTCAAACCATCTTGAACGACCTTGACGAACTTCGTCAAGAATTTAAGGTACAAACAATACAACTCACTCTTGCTCATACTGAGATACGACAGTTGAAAGCCTTACAAGAAGCAATGAGATTAGAATTTCAGGACAACTTTAGTGTGAACCTTCATATTTCCAAAACCCTTACTGATGTTCAAACTAAAACCACATCACTAGCAACCGTTCCTTGTAGCCCAAGATTACACCAAGTAGTAGACACCATAGATTTGAAACTCAAATCATATGCTGAGCCTACTAAGGTTGCGCATATCTCCTTTTGCCAAGAACAAGAGATAGAAAATGCAAACTAATATTTCCGTAAGAATAATATCAAGATATCTGGTTTACTTGATATAGAAGATGAAGATGTGAAGAGTGTCGCCACTAAATTCTTAGTTGACACACTACATGTTCATAGTCCAGATCTAGCTTAGGCTATTCGGATTGGGAAAACCAGCACAAATCCACGGTCCATCATAGACAAGTTTGTCAACCAGTCTCAACATGATACTGCCATGACCAACAAATCCATCCTCAAAGGACAGAGAATATGGTTGGATCCCGACCTCCCTTTATTGCAAGTAGAAGCTAGAAGGAAGTAACTTGAAAAGATCAAGAGTCTCAATTATTAGATTTCGTTGCTTATTTATGCGATAGAAGAACGATTTTCATACAGAAGAGAAGAGAGTCATCTACATAGCAACTTAGGGAGTTGAGGGTGTTGGTGTGGAATATTCTAGTATTATCTCCTTCAAAGTACGTGAGTGCCGATTCAATCTGAGAGAAGGGAGACATCATCAACATCGTGGAGACTTGGGAACATGAAAGCAACACCATAGCTGAGCTGCAAGGATTCACTTTAGT